CTAAATCCAAGTTTAAGGATTCCAACTCTATTAGTGCACCCGCAACTCAAATTGTACCAAATTTAGTACATAGTTGTATCAATTTCCAAAACTTCCCACATACCCCAATCCTACACCCCCACAGTCATCCTAAATTCAAGTTTCAAGATTCCAACATTATCAGTTGACCCACAATTCAAATTGTACCAAATTTAGTACACGCTGGTACGAATTTCCAAAACTTCCTATTTAACCCAAACCAACACCCCCACAGTGATCCTGAATCAAAATTTAATGATTTCAACATTATCGCTTCACCCACAATTTGAATTGTACCAAATTTTGTACACATTAGAACGAATTTCTAAATCACATCAAATTACACCTCCAAAGTAATCCTGACTCCAATTTTCATGATTCTAGCTCTATTGGTTCACCTAAAATTCAAATTGTACCAAAATTAGTACCATTTAGTTCCCATAAGTATTAATATGTTAAACTGAATCCTGACCTAATCCTACATCTCTAAAATGATCCTAATTCCAAATTTCATTGTTCCAGCTCTATCGGTTCACCTAAATACAAGTTGTACAAATTGTAGTACGATTTAGTACTTTTCGTACCCATAAGCAACATTTTTCCAAAACTACGTAGATATCTTAATCCTACACTCCGACGGCAATGTTACTTTCAATTTTCAGGATTCCAGCTCGATTTTTACCTTCAAATCAAATATGTACCAAATATAGTACCATATAATACTATTCGTACACACGCTTTGCAAACTCTCCTCATATCGACCCTACTTCTCAACCTTAATTTGCATTCCAAATTTCAAGTTTTTAGCTCAATCCATTCACATGCTAAATTTAGTAAATTTCAGTACTTTTCGGATACTCATAGTTCGAATTTCTAAAAAGCCCTTTGATACATCTATTCTATACTCCATCAGTGACCCTCAATCCAAATTTCAGAGTTCTAGCTCTACTGGTTCGCCAAATACAAATGGTATTTACATTTTTACTTTACTTACTTTTTTGTACCTTTCGTACCGTTCTAGTACGAATTTCCAAAAACCCAGCCATATCTGTCTCATTTGGACCAATAGTGACCCTCACCCAAAATTTCAAGATTCTAGCTTCAGCCATTTCGTCTGGGCGTTGATGAATTGTTAAATCAGTCAGTCAATCACTTTACACTTTTATTTGTATAGATATTTGGCGGGAACCCAACATGCCAAATAGAAGCCAATTCGATTGCCAACCTTATCCAAAATCCTCAAAATCCGCATATTTCGAGGGTACCCTTATATGGGGGCTAATATTAAAATATGGATCAATATCGATCATATTTGGTGGGAAGAGAACCCAAAATACCAAATTAAAATCATTTCGGTTAAAAAAGTTTCCATTTTCCCCATAATACCGAAATTTGGGAGGTACCCTTATATGGGGGCTATCCTAAGAAGTGGACCAATATTGATAATTTTTGTTGGGAAGATGTATTACCCTGTGAGAACCCAAAATGTCAAATTACATCCAATTCGGTTGAAAACCGCATTCAAACTCCTCAAAATACCGAAAATTGAGAGGTACCCTTATATGGGGGCTATACTAAAAATAGGACTAATATTGCAAATTTTTGGAAGGTGAGATTTCGCAACCAATGTGAATTCAAAAATACCAAATTACAGTCAATTCGCAAGAAGAACGTGATCAAGCTCCTCAAAATATCGAAATTTAGGAGGTACCGTTGTATGGGGGCTATGCTAAAAAGTGGACCAATATTGAAAATTTTTGGAAGTGAGATTTCACTCTCAATGGGAATTCCAAATACCAAATTACAGTCAATTCGGTTGAAAAACTTGTTCAAGCTCCCCAAAATACCGAAATTCGGGAGGTACCGTTATATGGGAGCTATACTAAAAAGTGGACCAATATTGAAAATTTTTGGTGGGAAGATGTTTTAACCAATTAGAACCCAAAATGCCAATTTACAACCAATTCGGTTGAAAAACGTGTCCATTCTCTCCAAAATACCGGAAATGGGAAGGTACCGTTATATGGGAGATAACCTTAAAAAGGGACCAATATTGAACATTTTTGGAAGTGAGATTTCGCAACCAATGTGAATTCAAAAATACCAAATTACAGTCAATTCGGTTGAAAAACGTATTCAAGCTCCTCAAAATATCGAAATTTGAGATGTTCCCTAATATGGGGGTTATTCTAAGAAGTAGACCAATATTAATAATTTTTGGTGGGAAGATGTATTGCCCTATGAGAACCCAAAATACCATGTTGCATCCAATTCCGTGGAAAACCGTGTTCAAGCTCCCCAAAATACCGAAATTTGGGAGGTACCGTTATATGGGAGCTATCCAAAGAAGTAGACCAATGACTAGACTATGAGAACCCAAAATGCCAAATTACAGTCATCTCGGTTGAAAAGTGTGACCATAATGCCCAAATTAACGAAATTTGGCAGGTATGCTATATGGGGGCTATATTAAACTAGTAAGGAAAATAGTAAAGTCGGACGGGCCGACTATACGATACCCTTCACCACTTTGAATATATTCAACAGATGAATCCTAAAGACGTCCCAGTTCTACATAAAATCGGACAAAAATGTCGTACAAGCTATATCGAAATCTAAGCCGAATTCATCGAAATTTGTCACAGAATTCGGTTTGACTTGTTGGTGCATCATTTACATAAAATCGGGAGAAAATAATTGTAGCTCTATCCAAATTTGAACCGATTTCAATGAAACTTTCCACATGCTAGGTTATATAAACTTCAGAACGTTGTGCAAAATTTTGTGTCAATCGGCCTAACTTTGGGTCTTTGGTGCACCTTTTACTTAAAATCGGAAGAAACTATATATAGGAAATATATGTAAATCCGATTTCAACAAAACTTGCCACACGCTATCTTATAATAACTTCAATAAGTTGTGCAAAATTGTGTGCCAATCGGACCCACATGGGGAATTTGGTGCAGCATTTATATCTAACTTCTAGGTTATACTGAGTTCAGTACGAAAGATATATGGGAGCTATATTTAAATCTGGACCGATTTTCACGAAACTTGGCAGACATCACTCTAGGCTCAATTCAGTACGTTATGTCAAATTTCGTGCAAATCGAAAGTTATAAAGGGACTTTAGTACACCAGTTACCTTAAATTGGACGATAATATATATGGGAGCTATATCTAAATCTGAAGCGATATTCAGGAAACTTAACACACATCATTCTTCACCCTATTCAGTACGCTATACCAAATTTCGTGCTAATCGAAAGATATAAAGGGACTTTAGTACACCAGTTACCTTAAATTGGACGATAATATATATGGGAGCTATATCTAAATCTGAAGCGATATTCAGGAAACTTAACACACATCATTCTTCACCCTATTCAGTACGCTATACCAAATTTCGTGCTAATCGAAAGATATATAGGGACTTATGTATACCATTTACTTCAAATCGGACGAAAATATATATGGGAGCTATATCTAAATTGGAACCGATTTTCAGGAAACTTAACACACATCATTCTAGACTTTATTCAGTACGCTATACCAAATTTCGTGCAAATCGACAGATATATAGCGACTTTGGTGCACCATTTACCTTAAATCGGACGAAAATATATATATGGGAGCTATATCTAAATCGGAACCGATTTTTAGGAAACTTAACGCACATCATTCTAGACTTTATTCAGTACGCTATACCAAATTTCGTGCAAATCGACAGATATATAGCGACTTTGGTGCACCATTTACCGGACGAAAATATATATGGGAGCTATATCTAAATCTGAACCGATATCTAAATCTGAACCGAGGGTTTGTCCTTGGGCCAAACAAGTGTCGTATGCCAAATTCCACCCAATTCGGATCATAAATGCGACCTGTACTTTGTTTACAATTTAACATGGACGGAGAGACAGACAGACGGACGTGCATAAATCGACTTAGAAAGTGACTCTATGCATATTCTATAAAGGAATCATGGTTCTATCTCGTTTCCTTTTGCCTGTTACAAACATATGCACAAAGACATAATACCCTGTACCACAGTGTGGTGAAGGGTATAAAAATGTCACCAATATTGCTAATTTTGGTGAAAAAATGTATTACCCTATGAGAAACCTCAGCACCAAATTTCAGCCAATTCAATCGAAAAACTTGTCCAAAATCGTCTAGATCGGCATATTACGGGGGGTACCCCTTGTATGGGGGCTATCCAAAACAATTGACCAATATTGATAATTTTTGCTGGGAAGATGTCTTAATCAATTAGAACCCAAACTGTCAAAATACAAAATCAATTCGGTTAACAAATATGCACACACTACCCAAAATACGAAAATTTCGGAGGGGGCTATCAAAATTGAGAATGTTTGGTTAGTGAGATTTCACATCATGTCGGAATTCAAAATACCAAATAACAGTCAATTCTGATAAATATTTTCGAGGTGTTGCAAACCGAATGACAAATTTAATATAAACTCCACCTTATAGTGGAGCAGATTTTTTCATAATATAAAATATTTATTTTTTTTTTATTTCAAAAAAATTATTTCAAGTGTGTTTTGGTGTTATTTTATTTTATTTAAATATTTCTTGGAAGAAAATTAAAAAAATCAAACATTTTTTTTATTTTTATTATTTTTTTAAAAATTATTTATATATAAACGAACATATATACAAATTACTATATTCTGATATGATTTGCTGCTATTGCTAGTGAGTCACAATTTCGAATAACCTCCCCCCTCTCTGCTCTACTCTATTTCTGTTTAGCGCCACATTCCCATGGGAATCCATTTTTGTTGTTGCCAGCCACTGAATTATTTTCATATCAGCTGGCTGGCCCATATTTATTTTTAATATTTTCTCGCCATTCGATGAATAATTTTAATTTTTTTTGTTCAGTTGCAATTTGCCAGCTAGCCAATAAAATTTATATTAATTTGTAATGTTTTTTCTTTTTTTTTTTGCAGCCGGATGAGGTCAACACCCGTAATAATTTTCTACAGGGAAATTTCTTTAATCGCAAAAGGTAAGTGACGAATTATATTTCCTGTATTTTTTTTTTTAATTTGGTTTTCTTTTCTTGTATTGAAATTAAACAGGTTAGATATATTTAATAAATTAAAATAAATTATTCTGCATACTATTCAGTCGAAGAGAAAGAGAGCGGGAGCCGAGAGAGTTTGTCACCAAACCTCTCAATTCATGGGTATATTTGAATAAATGAAACGAGAAAGAGGAACAGATATATTTGTTAGCGTCGAAATCGATTATAACGAACAATGTTTTGAATGACATATCGACGATTTTAACGATAATATCCAAAAGTGTCGAAAAAATCTATAATTTTTGTTTTATTATGGTTTATAGCGACCAATTTGGTCGATATATATATAATCTTATAATTTAAAAACAAATTATTGCATTTTTCATAATACGCACGTTGGGCGCCACTTTGTCTAGACATAAAGAAATTTCTCAATTTAATTTAAAAATAACGAGTGGAAAAGCGTTAAGTTCGGCCAAACATTGGATACCCTCCACCAAAATACCGAAAATTGGGGGGTACCCTTATATGGGGGCTATCGGAAAAAATTGACCTATATTTATAATTTTTTTTGTGGAGAGATTTGGTACCTATTAAGAACTCAAAATATTAAATTACAGCAAATTCGGTGGAAAAATACGATTAAAAAACCCCCAAAATACTGAAAATTAGGAGGTACCGTTATATGGGGGATACCAGAAAAAATGGACCTATATTTATAATTTTTATGTGGAGACATTTAGTACCCAATAAGAACCCAATGTGCCAAATTTCAGCGTATTCGATTGAAAAATGTGCTCAAGAACCCCAAAATTGTACTGTTATATGGGAGCTATAACCTAACGTGGACTGATATATCCCAACATCGAACTTGACCTGCCTGCAGACAAAGGACAAACCTATGCAAAATTTCAGCACCCTATCTCAAATCCTTCAGAAGATAGAGTGATTACAACAGACGGACGGACATGGCTAGATGGTCTTAGAATTTTACCCTGATCATGAATACATATACTTTATAGGATCGCAAATGATTATTTCGATGAGTTACAAACGGAATGACAAAATTAATATACCCTTCATACTATGGTGGAGGGTATAAAAATTACTTACTTACTTAGCTGGCTTATGACAAACCGGTTGTTCCATAAGCCGAGCTTAAAAAATATTTCCAGGCGCATTCATCCAATTTGAAAGACCATTTTCCGAGATGTAGTCTTCTACTTGATCTTTACATCGGATGCATGGCCTTCATCTTCTGCGTGAACCATCACTGGGCTCGTTTTTATATGCCTTTTGAGCTGGGACATCTTCATCCATTCTCGCAAGTTGGCCTATCCAACGTAGATTGTATAGCTCATGGTCCATTTGACGGCGATATTCACCATCGACACAGATCGATCTATAGATCTATTTCCATTTCTCTCAAATACTCCAAGAGCTGCCTCATATGCTTGCGCCAGTATCCATGCTTCAGATCCATATAACAGCACGGATAATATCAGCGTCCTGTAGAGTTTGAGTTTGGTCTGGCTAGAGGTGGCCTTGCTTTTGAGTTACTTACTCAGACCATAGTAGCATCTGTTGGCTAACACTATTCTCCTCCGGATTTCACAGCTGATGTTATTAGTTTTGTTTATGGCGGTACCACCGAGGTGTATAAAATCGTTCACTACCTCGAAGCTGTAGTTTTCATGTTCCACAGTTGATCCGAGTCTTTTAATTTTTTATTTAAAATTTTAAAACATTGCTACATAAAATCTGTCCTCTGTATAAATTTGTCTATCTAATGAACGAACACATGTTCCGCCTTGCCTTATATATAGCCTCTACATCTGATTCATTTAGCGGAGGAGAAACTGAGGAATCAGAGTTTTTTCTTTTATTATTATTATTTTTTTTTTGCTTAATTCAAATACTGTCGACATAAATAAAAACACAGATTATACAGGATACAAAAAAGGAAAAAAATCGGAATGGTAGGGGAGAGCTTAAGGATGGGATAAATGGATAGACACTAGCTGCTTAGCCTAGTCATTCAGCCAACCAGCTTGTTTCCCTAACTGGCTGCCTGAACTGAATGAAAATTACATGAATGAATGCAATAAAGAAGGGCAGGGTAGGTAACACAACCCCCGCCAGGCCCTTGTCTATGTCATTCCCCTTTTTTAAATTTTAACTTTCATTATAAATGTCACAGCGATGAAATGCCACAATCTCATAGACATGGCTTGACTACATCCCATGTCCTCTGCATGGCAACCTCTCTTTTTCTCCCTTTCCGAAAAAGCCATTGCACTACGACGGCAACTGCAAGCAGAAGCAACAGCAATGCATTTTTATTCATGGAAATGTTCTGGTTGTTGTTGTTTTTCTTTTTTTTTTTTGTAGGTGTTCTTTCGTACTGTGTGTGCAACAACGTGTAATAATAGCACAACGTTTTTATACCCATCAAGGGTGGAAACAAATTTTACAAACCCCATGGTTTAGGCAGGGCATGTGGGAGAGATCTCCGCACACTGACATGTTTATTTTGTTTTAGATCCATGTCTCTAGTTGTTAAAACCAAATCTGATGTACGTTCTGGAACTGCCTGCCGCCTCGCCACTACTACCTTAGTTACAATCTCTATTATTATTTGTTGTTGTACAAATGTTGATGATGTCGTTGTCATCGCCGTCATCATCGCCATCGTCATCCTAGAAGTCATTACCATTAAGAAGAACAAGCATTGGAGCAAGAACAAAAAACGCATTGGCGTTTGTTTTTACACCCATCCCTAGTACAATTTTTATTCACGATGCATTGAAGAGGACTTGTTTTTCCTGCAGCACAGTATTCCGAGCCTATCTGTAGGCATTAGGGCTGGTTTTTATGTGGAATGTTTTTATAGACTGGTTGAAGTTAGTCTCTATACCCTGTCCTACCACATTTTCCTAGCTGTGTATTGTAGGACATACCCTGACGTATGTCCTACCAGCTCCTATCTGGAATGTTTTTATAGACTTGTTGAAGTTAGTCTCTATACCCTGACTGATGTCCTACTACATTTTCCAGCTCCTAACTGTGACCTATACAACCGAATAGAATATGTATGAAATAATCCTAGAATATATGAACGATATTCATAATATGTAGGAAAAGTTCATAAATTTGTGGATACCAATTCCAATTTTATTCGATGTAAAATTACTGAGAGTAGAGTAATTTTGCTTGATTTTAGAAGGTTTTCTTTAAATCTAGGTCAAATTCTTAAAATGCGCGAAAAGTTCTTAGAATGTACGAACAAAATTCATAGGTTACATGAAAAGTTTGTATAATGTAAGAAAAAAATATTTTTTTGAATGGATATAAAATAATTTCTTTGTTTGATTTCTGAAGAGACTTTTTAAATCTTTGAAAAGTTCCTAGAATGTATGAAAGGTTTTTAAAACGTACGCACAAAATTCATAAAATGTAGGAAAATTTCATCGAATCTATACAACAGAATGTAATTGTATGAGATATAAAGAGAAATTGGATTACAATGAAATGTGTGAAAAGATATTAAGATTGTTGTTGTTGTTATTGTTGACCTGTGATATGTTAATCCTTGTGGATTTTTGTTTTGGCTCTAGGTCAATTGAAAAACTGTTGTTTATGTTTTTCTTTTTTGTTTATTTTTATTTTCCAATATTTCGACTGTCTTCGGCAGTCATCTTCAGGGAAATATTTTATGAGAAAAGCAACCGATTTTCATCACCGTCTATGCTAAACTGAAGATGACTGCCAAAAAAAAAAAAAAAAAAAAAAAAAGATATTAAGATTGTTGCAGAAGAACGAACAATCACAATGAACGAAATTCATAAATTGTAGAAAATGTGCATATAATGTTGGAAAATTTGCATATCTGATGTGATGTAAAATTAATTGTTGAATGTCCGATTTTAGAAGATCTTATTAACATCTAAAAAAGTTTTTAGAATATTCAAAAAGTTTTTAGAATATTCAAAAAGTTCTTAGAATTTTTGGAAAAGTTCATAGACCAAATGATAAAATTTATAAAATGTGGGAAAAGAGTTCATAGAATTTAGGAAAAAAAACTTCGTTAATGGAATATAAATTAAGTTGAATTAGGAAATGTTTGTTAGACATTAAAATGTCTTTATTCCACATGTGAAAAAGTTCTTAAAATGCATGTAAAGTTTTTAGAGAGAATTCAAATTTAATATGATTGAAAATAACATGGATTAGAAAGTTTTGCTTTGACTTTTCGTTCGTAGAATATGAAAAGTTCTTAGAATTTCATATAATGTAGGAAATATTCAAAGAATGTAGGAAAAAAATCAAATTTGATTAGATGTAAAATAAACGTTTGCCTATATTTTGAGGTTTTCTTTAAATATAGAAACTGTGTTCATAGAATTTGGGAAAAGTTCGTAAAACGTACGAACGAATCTCATAAAATGTAGGAAAACTTCGGGAAATTACTCTTTAAATTGTTGGAAATGTTTATAAAACGTTTGTAGAAGTTCGTGGAATTTGTAGAAAACGATTCTTAGAATTTATGAAACAATTCATTGTTTCATTCAAAAAAATGATTCCTTAGAATTCTTGAACAAGTTTTTATGATTGGCATTTATAAAGAATTTTATTCGAAGAATTTATGTATCACTTCACACAATTTAGGATTCATATCTCAGAATTTAGGTAGATAATTCATTGAATATAGAAACATAATTCTTTGAATTTAGAAAAAAATCTTAAGTGTTTAGGAAAAAAATTAGCATTTAGAAAACTCCAAATACATTTCTAGGAATAGGAAAGAAAATTCATAGAATTTAGATAGTCCTTTTTTAAAGTGGCTACAGATCACAGAATGTGCGAAAAGTTCATTCACTATGAAATTCATAAAATGTAGAAAAAGTTTATAGAATGTAGGAACTGTCTTAGAAGACAATTAAAAAATTTAGCAAACAAATTTCAGAATTTCGATAAAAAAA